TATTTATTTATTTTTTTTTTGGTGGTACCAGGGATCAAACTCAGGATCTTGCACTGGCCAGGCAAGCACTTACTCCACTGAGCTATCTCCCCGGCCCCAGAATAACTTCCAGTGGTTTATTTCAGTCTGTGAGATTGAGAATTGCAGGTGTTTAGCTCTAAATTTTATTTTCCTTCTAGGGTAAATTAAAAAGTACATATATCGTATTGCTATGGATTTTAGTTTGTGATTTTATTACAATATCTGTTAATTCATGAGACCTAGGATTGTTTATTTTTGGTCATTCTGTTTTAAATAATGTTCTGCCATTAACATTGTCCTGAGGCTTGGACATAAAAGAAAGTTAAAAAGTGTGCAGTTCTCCCCAGTGGTTGGATATTCTAGATGATTTGACTCCATTCTCACATCCCTGCTTTTCAGGCTCCGGGTTTTTGACAGTGGAGTCATGGTAATTGAACTTCAGTCCCACAAGGAAGAGGAAATGGTAGCCTCAGCCCTGGAGACAGTATGTGAACCTGGTTTCCTTCAGTTATTAGAGCTTGCCACCAACACCCAAGAGCTTAGAGACTCAAAAAGCAGGATTTCCTTTTAGATGTAACTACCCTATAAAGTAATATTCAGAGACTAAATTAAAAATGGCTTGTTATTCACAATGAATATGCATTAGTTATAGTCATACCTTAAAAAGCTTTGAGAAGCTTATTGACCCCCTTAACATCTTCAAAGTAAAAGGGTGAAAATTAGTGAGGTTCCTGTTTTTCTTTGCAAGCTCCGTGTTAGAACAGGTTTTTTGTTACTCAGAATGCTACACAGAACACCTACATAAGCAGCATTATAATCTAAAAGTACACATTGTTCTGTTAGGTAAATGCTTTAACAAATAAATAACTATAGTTTAGATGGAATTTATTGGCCAAAATGCAATATTACTTACTAGGATACGCAGAATACTAGTTATAGCTTCTATGCTGAGCCTATAGAGTTTGGCTATTTCATGTTTATTATATACCTTATTTTAAGCTAGGTGAAAACTTTAAGACTAGATATTTTTACCACATATTTAAAATTAAATTATATATATTTGGGTCCTTTACTGGAGCCTGTACTACACACTCAGAAGTTGTTACATGTTTCTTTTCAGAGCACTCAATAACTGTCTAGCCTTTAGTACATTGCATTGTTACGAGTCTGTTTTAGTTTCTGCTCTAGTTGTTAGAAGTCCTTCAGTTTTTGTAGCACTAAGCATTAGTTAAGGTTTAGTTCTATGGTGAGGTGAATATTTGCAGTGTAGTAGAAAATTCAGTAAATCGTTTCCTGAATGTGTTGGTATATATTGTGCTTATGGTTGGTACATGTCTAAGTTAGTCACGTTTTTTTCTGCTGTGTACATCTGTTAGGTTTCAGAAAAGGGATCCCTAACATCAGAAGAGTTTGCTAAGCTTGTGGGAATGTCTGTTCTCCTGGCCAAAGAAAGGTATGTAGGGAGGGACCTTGTGCTTCGTGACAACTTGCGCTTGTGTTTCTGAACGGGCAGCTGGTTATGCCTTCCTCTTTCACTTCCAGGTTGCTGCTTGCAGAAAAGATGGGCCATCTTTGCCGAGATGACTCCGTGGAAGGCTTACGGTTTTACCCAAATTTATTTATGACACAGAGCTAAAGGCTTTGCGTTTGAAATACTTTGTGTCCACACACTTGCATCGTGTAGCACTTGTATGACTTTGAACTAATTGCTAAATCCTGATAAACTGAGAATTCAGTAGAATTTCACAGTATAATATAAAACTTTTAAAATCACTCCCTGAATACTATGGTCCTGGAAGCTTATTTAGGATATGTAAAGAAAATACATAAAGAAAAATGAATGACAGTATGAATTTAAAATTGTGCTATATCTGTGCCGAACCTTCAGAGTTTAACTTGAAACAATGGAGCTTTTAACTTGATTCCCTTATCTAACCATTTTTTAGAGAATTTAAGTTCTTGGGGAGGAAAAAGAGAAGCAGCTGCATGTTTGGGCAGGTTAGATCATTGTTTTGGTGTTCATGGAATTAAAAATGTTTTTCCTTTTGTATGATAAGCCCATTTTGGGCGGGGGGAGGTACATGAAGGAGGTGGTTGTTACAGGGTAGTTAAAATCCCCACAGCATTGGAATAGGCTATCAAACTAAAACTACAGAATGCTGTACAAGGCCCAACTAAGGGCTTTTCTAGGCAGTCCCAAGCATGTCTTCAACAGAGTAAATAACACTCCTCTAGACAAGGAGCGAGCTAGGGTATAGCTCAGCTGTGGTGAGCCATACATAAGGCCCTGGGCTCTATGCCCAGCATAGCCAAAAAACAAAACAAAACAAAAAAAAACTTAATGTATATACACTCAACTAGTTTCTTTTTATTTATTTTTTTAGTGATTTCATGGCTGGCATTTAAAGAATGCAACTGTATAATTTTGTTTTAAAAATGCTGTGGATTTTGAAGGTAAATTAAAGAGCTGTATAGACATGCCCATAGTTATGATTACAGATTTCGGAGTCAGACAGCTAGAAATTCCCTAGGACTGTTGTGTAAGTTGAAGGGTAGAAGGAACCTTTAACTAACTTCACAGGACTCTTAGTGCTCTTTCACCTGAAAGCCAAGATGAGAAATAGAAAATAGAAAAGTAATATAGCTGCTCTTCTCTCTCTTACAATAGTCTTAACACTGAACTTTAAAACTCTTTGTCATACTCTAGCAATATTTTTTTCTTCTTTGCCCTATATATCATAAGTTGTGTACAGAAACCAGCTTGGTAAAAAATGTTATTGAGAAAATATAAACTGGCTAATATCACATGCAGATTGCCTAAATTTTAAAGGAGACTGCTTGACTTCGTGTGTCACTGCTGTCCAGCATACAGTGTGTGGACATTATGCGTACTCAGGGACCGACAGGACAGAAGGAAACTTCCTGAGAATGATTTGGGAGTAGAAAAGAAGTGGTGGTGTTCACCAGGCCTCCATAAGGAATGATGTCTGCACTGGGGGAACCCTGCACCAGGGAGGGACCCAGGTGCACACTCTGGGACCTCTAAGACAGGCTTTCACGTGGAGGTCGGAAGCCATTGCCCGCGGCCCCTCTGGATACCCCCTGGGGAAGGGCTAAGGTCCTCAGCTCACAGACCCAGGGATCCTAACCCTGTCCCTTCCTGAAGAGTGGCTGTTTGTGCTTTGTGTTCTCCGGTGTCCTCTAGGAATGCTGGGGCCAAGGCATTCTGCTTTAGTCTTCATTTTCTAAACCTGTCACTGACTGTTCATTGCAGTGACAGAGCCCTTAATTACCTCATTGCTCAGCCTCAGGTTTATTTGGGGGGTAATTCAGTGAGTGTCTGGCTGCCCGAGTCTTTGGGGTAAGCTGGACCACTGTGCATGTCTTGCCTCTCTGGGTTGCACCCTGTCACATGGCTCTGGCAGACTTGTACAAACACACACGTCCAAACGCATACAGCCATGCTATCTCATCTGTCTAAGCTTCTTAAGAGATAAAAGGTCTTGTTTCACCAGTTGAAATAATTGCAGGTAAGGTGGGAGCTGCTTGCTCTAGCTCAGTATGGTCAACCTGCATAATTTTGCATATTTATTTACTTCTGTGGCAACAGATTAACAAAAATGAGGGTAATCTGAGTTGTATAAAGTGAACTAAAGAGGAAGAAAAACACGAATATACTTTGCAAATGTCACATCATTTAAAAACAAGTATGATTGATGTTTATTCTAATTGTCTTTTTAAATGGGCATTTTTCACTGTTTCCAGACCTCTATTTTTATTTTTTGCCAAACAAGGTGTTATTCTGGTCCTTCGTTGGTAGAGGTCAACCAATCAGGCGCTATACGTGCAGAAAAGCTCTGCCTTGGTGCTTCTCACTGGTATAATTATTTTTGTTCTCTTAACTTTGCTCTTAAGAGCATGAATCTCTTTGTAGCTTTATGGTAATGAAATATTTCTAGTCACTTACTATCAAGGATAATTTTTTTACATTGTATAAGTGAAGGTTGTTTTCAGGGTTAACTGATTGGTATTAATGTATATAAAGTGAAATTATTTCAAAATTTTAAAACGATTCTCTTGTTTGGTATTTTTAAAAAATTCTGAAAAAATATGAAAATGGTAGACATTTAGTCACACACTAAGTCAGAATGTTAACAATTTTTCTTCTAAATTTTATAATTAAGCATTGCTCATACATAGTTATGACTTTGAGGTCTTACTGTTTTAGTTATCTTTAAAAAATGGGAAATGAGGCATGGACTGTTTCTTTCCTTCTTTTTTTCTTAAAATTCTTTGTGTGAATTCCACTGTGAACTGACTGGATGTGCTCTGTCTTGTTGTCTGTTACGAACCCAAGTGGACCAGACATGAATTCATCCTGTTACTGTTCTCATGCTCATATCCTTAAACTGGTTCTCTTTTGCCCAGCAATCACAGAGACTTCGTTTTGGTACAGTGGAGTCACAATGTGTAAGGTGGTTAGGTTTTAATGACTGCTGAGGACAAAACTAAGCATGCTCAAAGTGATCGTTTAAAATCCCTTAAGTTGCCAATAAAGTTCCAACAGTCTTATCCCCTGTGGAATGATATGTAGGTCCGACTATATCATGCAGGTAGGAAGTATGTATAGTAGAACTGCATACCACCAATAGACTTTTCTAGTATTAATAATTATGCTCTTTAAATATGGGTCTTTTTGCCAATAGGTATGTTTGGATTTATGTAAATGTATTGTCAATCCTATCCCAATCTAGAGTGTAAGCTCTTCAAGAGCAGAGTTCTGTGTTCATAAATATATCCCCAGAGCCCAGAACAGGGCTTACCACACAAAAAACGTTCAATAAAGATTTACTCAGTGAATGAAGTTTGATGTATATACCTGTTTATACTGTGGTTCCTCTTCTACTTTAATTTTCATTAAAGTTATAAAATCACTTTTATACTACATGCACATTTTGTGAGGCACTTTGTGAGACTGTGGGCACTGGGAGAAATACAAAGGTATGTGAGGTACAGCCTCCCCTTAGGAAGGTGGCCTCATTGGGGGAGACAGACATGAAGCAACTTTCACTGAGAGCAGTGGAGTAGCTGCCTGGGCAGGAGCACGGAGGCTGTGCCATGGAGTGTGGAACAGTCTTCAGCTCTGACGTGGGGCTCTTGAGGCTTTGTGGGAGAGAAAGGGCATGGTAAAGTAGGCTCACACAGAAAGAGAGAGTGCCCCTAAATGGACGGTACTGGGTCACGGGAACAGCATGAGGTGTGCCCCTTCCTGTTCCGGGCACATCCCTGTGCCTGTTCAGACTTCTTTTATTACTTCTTCCCACTCACACACATAATCCACATCATACAGTGTTCAGTCCTGCCAGCTCTAGAATCTTTCTAGTGCAGAGCTCTGCTGTTGCTGAACTCTGTAGGAGTTACCAAATGTTCACATGCTTGATTATATTTTGTCTTATTCTTTTTCTTGTCTTATTTGATACCATAAGAAAACAGACTAGGTTTCTTTGAAGTTGAAAAGTTCATACAAAACTTGAGTCCTCACTGTCCTGAGTCAGTGACTATATGGTAGATTCCTAGTTGAGCACTGATTTGAGTGACCTGCATTATAGTGCTGTCTTGAGTTGACCAACAGACCCAAAGCTGTGTCCCTGTACTATTTTCCTAAGAAGCTCTCAATCAGGTTTGTCATGGTTCAGCCTGCCTGAGATCTGCGCTTTCTTATTCAGATTCCAAGACATGGGCCATATCTGTGGTGTGGGTAACCTCCCCAGAAGTCAAGTTACACACCTACAAGATCTTGTTTTTACAAGCTATTATTACAGTGTAAAAATTGGGTCATTCATGTTTTTCCTTGTGTCCAGATAGGAAGTCATGAGCCAGTTATGGCTTTCATCTTAGAAAACAGAAGATCTCTCCATGTGTATACAAAGAGTAACTGAGTATAAAGTTTTACATAATTTGCACAGATCACTGGACCAGTTGATCTAGAAAGAATTCATAGTATCTTGAAAACTGGTTTTAGTTCAGTACTGACAAGACCATACCAGTAAGAAAGCATTTTCTTATGTGTCTATTTTTTTTTAATCTTTTCAGTCTTTTTTTTTTTTGTTTTTGCGGAACCAGTGATTGAACTCAGGCCCTTGCCAGGGAAGCGCTTACTCTACTGAACCATCTCCCCGGCCCCCCTTATGTGTCTATTTCAGAGAGGATTAAACTGCATCTTAATTGTTGAATATGGACAGTAGAACATTTTGGCACTAATTTTAATTAAGACAAAAATGACCAAGCATATCAATAGAACCACTTGTACCTGAGTTTAGGCCCTCCCACCCCAGCAAGAGTGGCTTTGTGGAAAGAATGTACTTTCAAGTATTAACATACTAAAATAATTTGTTTTCTACTTGTTTCACTCAATGTAAAAGTTTATTGTATGCCTTTTATGGTTTAGAGAAGATGGGAGTAAGTTATTTTGCATTTTAGGCAGGGCTGGAATTTAATCCAGCTTTCTTTACCTCTAAAACCTCCTCCTCTGAGTTTTTGCTTTCAAAGCAAACTACTAGGGATTATGTGGCATGTATTTGAAAATGAATCCTAACTTGGTGTCTTGGTATTAGGCTGGATAATTGTACTAGCTCAGAGACTGAATGATCTGGAAGCTTCCTTTGAAACTTGAAAGGATTGCCAGTTTTAACTATCTGAAAAGGTAAGAATTTAGAACATTGGATACCTATTATATTTAAGCAAGTAACTGCTACTTAAAGTGATTAGTTTAAGGGTCTGAAAATGACATAACTTTAACAGTATTGCTGTGAAATTTACAAATGTAGTGGAGAAATTAATACAGCAGAACAAATTCGTGTAGTCCAGCCCCTAACCAGTAGAACGCACCTCACCTCCCCAGAATTTCCGGTGCATCTTTCCAGTCCCTGGCTCACCTGAGGGCTGAGCGTTGATCTCAGCCACCACATGTGAGTTTTGTGTATTAAGAGGTATGTTTGGGGGTAAAAGAAAGCAGAGGTAAACTGCACATTACACGTTAGTCAACAAGCATAGCTTGATTTGGACGCCCATCTTTTCCTTTAAAAAAGAACTTTTTTTTTTCTTGGTACTGGGGATTGAATTCAGGACTCTACTGAGCTGTCTCCCCGACCTCCCTAAAAAAACCTTTAACATTTACATAGTTTTCTTTTTACATGTTTCGCTACTTCTCATTCACCAAATCTGGCACCAGGAGGAAAAACCCGAAAGGCGCCCTTTACCTGGACGGTGTTCTTTTGCAACCCTTTAAGGAGATTTGGGAACTCAAAGCCTATACATTATGCCACTTCAATTTTTCTTTCAGCCTCAGAAGAAAATGACTCTGGAGTATAAGTGATTGAATTTAAAGTGTGGGGAGACTGCATGTTCGCCCTTAAAATCTGGGGTCCAGGTCGTTGGCTGAGGCGTGCGCGGGTGTGTAGTGGGGGGTCTGAGCCTGGGGGGGCCGCACCCCCGCGTCTGCCCCACCTTCCCCCGAGGGCACGCCTTTCCTGTCAGTTTCCGGGCCTGCAGCTGGCGAGTTGGGGGCGGGCAGGAAAGGATGCGCTGCCCAGAGGGGCGGGGGCAGCCCCGGCCGGTCCCGTTTGACCCCGGCCCCGCGGGTGCCACCCCCGGTTGTCCGGGGCGGGGCCGGGCGTGCGGGGTCGGACGCGGGACACTCCACGCCGCCTGGCGGTCCGAGGCCTCCGCGTTCCTCGCCCGCGCGGGGCCGCCTGTCTGAGAGGTAAGCGGGGCCCGGCGGCCAGGGAAACGCCCGCGATCTGGGGGCCACTCCGCAGCCCCATGGAGCGGGTGAAGGGGGCGCCCCGCCACGCAGCGCCTGTGCCCTCGGGACGCGCTTTGAAAAGCGGCGACTTCGCACCTGGGCGCAGCGCTCGGGGGCGCGGGCGCGGCCGAGGATCTGAGCCCGGCCACAGCGGGATGGTGAGGGGCTTGCGGCGCGGAGCGTCGCGCAATGAGTTTCTTTAAAAAAAAAAAAAAGAAAGAAAAAAGGAAACCCTTTCAGGAATACAGTCCACTTGAAATATAAGCATTTCGAGAGGATCTTCCGGAGGGACTTTCTGCTATCACTGTAACCCTAGATTTCATAGCGTGAACTTGATAAACTTGACCTGCACCTCTAGCAAGCAGAGCAGCTGCGGCGGGAGTGCGCCCGGGCTTTCCCGGGGAGCTGCTGCCACCCGGGACACCGGGGCTGAAGGCACAGATGACGCCTGTCTCACGAACCGCTTTGGAATTGGGGTTTCCTCTTACTAAATATCATTCTTAGACATACCTAAGAGCATGTGCAAGTTTGTCAGAGAGACGGCATTATTCTGCTTCTGCTGTCCCTTTTGTTGTTTGGCAAGTCGTTGGTGCCGTGGACAGTGAAGTAATTCGGTTTCTTTTCCAGCAGTTCCGAAGGGTAATACAGCTGGTGCCAGCGAGCACGTGGGATTTTAAGTCTCTGAGAGTATCCCCGGCCTCTCCCCACCCTCGCGGCTGCGGCGCGTAGACTTTACTTACAAGAATGTTACACAGGGGCAGGGTTTTGGTTGGTTGGTAGTGCTTGGCCTCCAGAATGCTAGGCGAGTGCTCTCCGACTGTGCCCCAGATATTTTAAAATGTGTTTAAATCATGTACCTGAGGTCTTACTTTCTTAAGTTGATTCTCAAGCCAGACATTGTGAGTAGCCAGTAATGGAATGGGTACTAACATGCTGAAAGAAAATAAGCAAGGTAGACAAAACTAAAGAGGCATATAACGATTTCCGGGCAGTCAGGCTTATTTTATAATTCCATCTCTATTTTATAATTACATTATCAAATAATTCTGTGTTTTACTGGTTGTTTTCCTAAGAAGGAAAATGGAGTATAATCACAGAATCGATTACCACACCCTCCCTCCCATTCCCACCCTCAAACAGGGAAGCAGGCAATGGCAATGGGGAAAAACTGGCCCAACTTGGATTTTGCTTCTCTCCAGTTGGGTTATTGCATATCAGTGACTTAAAGGAGACATTTTAATTGTCCTGCTGTCCGCAGCGCTCCAGAGAGCCCACCCTGCTTCCCCAGAGGGTTCACCTGCTGTTGGGGCAGGTTTCCCAGACCAAGTTCAGAGGACTGAATAAAATCTGTGGCTAATTTTACCAAATCAGAGCCTTTACACTTGTGCTAAGGAGGGGAGGGAGCCCTGCTTATCTGCAGAATTACATTTCTAATCTGCTTCTTCAGGAAGCGCAGTATTTCCTTCGTAAACCAAGGCTTGCTGAAAGAAGGGTAATGGAGACACACTAGTTTCTCTCTCCTTGAGTTTTGGTTTCCCGCTCTTAATTCAGTTAATTTCTGTTCTTTTTTGGCAGAACCGGGGATTGAACTCAGGCCCTTGCACTTATCAGGCAGTTATTCCACTGAACTATCTCCCTGGCTCCTTAATTTCTGTTCTTAATGCAAGGTTGTAACATATGTTTGGAATATAATATACTTGCTTTTCAAAAGTAGTATTCACTGTGGGGTTGGGGCTATAGCTCAGAGGTACTGTACTTGTCTAATGTGCATGAGGTGCTGGGTTCAATCCCCAGCACATCAAAAATATTTAACTATAAATAATAGGGGATGGTAAAAGTAAGAAAATACAGAGGCATGGGAGATGGCTCAGTGGAATAAGCGCTTCCCTGGCAAGCACAGGGGCCTGAGTTCAATCCCCAGTTCCGCAAAAAAAAAGTAAGAAAATATATACTTGGTTATGTTTAATATAACATGGCTTGCTAGATTCTAATATAAAAAACTGATTATAACTGGCCTGCACAATATTTTATAGTTGAATAGTCTACT